TCTGGTTATAACTTTGTTTGCTTCTAGGTGTTCACAGATCTGTTGCTTAATTTTCCAGGATCTTCCAAGGTATTGATGTCAAGCTGATTGGTCTATAGTTTCCTGGATCAATTTTCCCCTTTTTTGAAGATGGGAACCACATATTTTCCATTCCTCTGGTAGTTTCCCAGTGTTCCGGGATCTTCCAAAGGTGGTTCAATGGTTCCAAGATCATGTCTGCCAACTTCTTTAGAACTCTGGGATATAATCCATTGGTCCTGGTGGTTTGAACTCATTTAGAATAGAATAGAATAACAGAGATGGAAGGGACCTTGTAGGTCATCTAATCTAACCCCCTGCCCAAGCAGGAGACCCTACCCCAGGGATGTCAAACTGGTGATCTGGGGGCCAGATGTGTCACACAGGCCACCCCCACCCCAGCTCCATGAAGGGAACAAACCATCCTGATACATCACATGACGGCAATGTGACACTGTGAGTTTGACACCTGTGCCCTACACCATTTTTGACAAATGGCAGTCCAGTTTCTTAAAAGCCTCCAGTGACAAAGCTCCCATAACTTCTGAATGCAAGTTTGATTGTTCTCACTGTCAGAAAATTTTTCCTTGTTTCTAGGTGGAATCTCTCTTTGTTCAGTTTCCATCCATTATTCCTTGTCTGGCCTTTGGGTGCCTTACAAAATAGCTTGACCCCTTTCTCTGGAGCAGTCCCTGGAAGACTGCTCTCCTGTCTCCCCTGGTCCTTCTCTTTCCTAAACTAGCACATGCCCAGTTTCTGTAACCGTTCTTCATATGTTTTAGTCTCCAGTCCCCTCAACATCCTGGTTGCTCTTCTCTGTACTCTTTCTATCTAGAGCCTCAACATCTTTTTATAATGTGGTGACCCAAACTGGATGCAGTATTCTAGGTGTGGTTTTACTAAGGCTTTATAGCAGGGGTGTCAAACTCACAACCACACGTTGTTGTCATGTGACATATCACAACTTTCCCCACTTTGTTAACTGAGGTGGGCATGTCCAACGCGTGACGTGTCCAGCCCACCGGCCTTGAGTTTGATACCCCTGCTTTATAGAATGGTATTAGTACTCACATGATCTTGATTGTATCCCTCTGTTAATGCAACTTAGGATTGCATTAGCTTTTTTGGCTGCCACTGCACATTGTTGGCTCATATTTAATTGATTGCCCACTAAGACTCCAAGATCCTTCTCACAGTTACTGCTATTAAGCCTGGTTTCTCCCAATGTATATGTGTACTTTTTTTTGTTTTTACTTTGGTATAAGATTTTAATTTTCTCTACATTGAATTTCATTTTTGTTAATTAGGGCCCAGTGTCCAAGTCTGTCAAGATCCATCTGGATCTTGAGCCCATCATCTGTGGTCCTGCCAGCTTAGTATCATCTGCACATTTGATAAGTTCCCCTTCATCCAAGTGGTTTATTGACAATATTGAAGAGTACTGGGCCTAAGATGGAACTTTGTGGTACCCACTGTTTTCTTCCCTCCATGTAGACATAGTATCGTTAAGGACTATTCATTGAGTATGGTTTGTCAGCCAGTTTCAAATCCATTTGATGGTGGTGCTATCTATCCCACTTTTTTCTAGCTTACTAAGAAGTAGGTTGTGGTCTACCTTGTCAAATGCCTTGCAGAAGTCTAAATATACTATGTCCACAATATTTTGCTGGTCTACTAACTTAATCACTATGTCAAAGAATAAAATAAGACTGGTTTGGCATGATCTGTTTGTAACAAACCCGTGCTGACCTAGTTATTACTTTATTCATTTCTAGATGTTCACATATCTGTTTTTTATTATCTTTTCCAGTATCTTCCCGGGTATTGATGTTAGGCTGATTGGTCTATAGTTTCCTGGGTCTGTTCCCACCCCCACCACACACACTTTTTTTTTTAAGATGGGAACCACATCAGCTCTTTTCCAGTCCTCTGGTAGTTCCCCAATGCGCCAGGATTTTTGAAAGATATGGTACGGCGGTTCCGAAATGACATCTGCCAGCTCCTTTAGAACTCTGGGATGTAATCCATCAGGTCCCGGTGATTTATATTTATCAAGATCAGACAGGTGTGCTCTTACCCTTTTTTTTTCTTTTCTTATTTTAACTTTTATTTCTGGTCTGTTTATTACAGTTATGTTTTTGGAGGGTTGAGCTATAGTTTGTTTCTGCATGAAGACCAATACCAAGAAGGAGTTAAGCAACTCTGCTTTCTCTCTGCTACCTGTTACTTCCTTGCCATCTTCGCTCTTTAATAGACGGACTGTTTCCTTGATTTTTTTTCTTGTTTTTATATGTTGGAAGGAACTTTTTTTATTAGTCTTTTTCAGTGGTATTGTGTTGGACTATGCTTTTATAATAATATTTTTCACAGTTTCCCAAGCTTCTTGAGTTCTCTTCCCCTTTAAAATTTTCATCCATGGAATCCTTCCCAAGCTGTTTCAAAGTTTGTTAAATTAGCATACTTTTAAACTGTATCTCCTGTTTATAACCATGAAAGAACTTCAAAAAGTTCTCCCTTATAGGCAATTTTTTCTACAAAACAATGTTCCATGAAGTTGGGGTCAACTCTTAGCAGCCCCATACATAGAATCAGCTCCAGGACACACCGACCCAAACTTAGGAACAGCTTACCTCCCAGAGTTGTGGGTGCTCCGTCACTGGTGGTCTTCAAGAAAAGATTCCATTTGTCCAGGATGCAAAGCTCTGGGCAGCCGGTTGAATTAGACCTCCAAGGTACCTTCCAGCCCTATTCATGCGCATATTCATATCCGTGTGCAAAAGAAATTCAACAATTTTAATGAAGGAGCTAGTCCAAAATAAATAGCTGCAGGTTATAGCATTAATGAGATATAATTTGTTTTGCTAATTAGGGTTGTTTTGTGATATTATAAACAGGGATTATAAATAAGTACTTGCATTACAACTGTTCCAGCAGACTGTACCAAAAGACATTGTAAGATGAATAGAGAAATTGAAATGCCCAGAGGAAAAAAACAGTTATTGCCAGCTATTGCTTGAGTTGGGGACATATACAGTAGTTGTACACAGAGGAAAAACCAAACACCACACACATTTCAAAAGACTATTGTTTCACTTGAACACCTACAAAACCTAAATGAATAATTTAAGATTTAAAATGTAATTATTTCTGCCAAAAACATATGCAAAATAAAATCCCCCTTGTTATTTTTGTTCCCACTGGGATTCCTGGTTTGTTTGTTTTTTGTCTTTCTATATTCTTTTCTACAATTTCTTTGTAACAAATTTGTGACAAGCTAAACTGAAAAAAATTATTTACAGCCACCTGGATAGGCTTCTTATATAGAGTCCCTTTGTGAGGGAGACGGTCGGCTTCAACATTTGATAAATAGTAGTAAGTGAACTGTTTGGGATCAGACCATACCCACCAGCCATTCAAGTCTTGGTTAACAATAGCAGGAGTCCTGCACATAGCTAAGCTAAAATCACGTAAACCAAGTACAGTGCTGGCATACTGCATGAGCTCAGCCACAAATTTCTGAAGTTGGAATTGCTAATTTGATCACTGACATCAATACATGCCAACCCAAAACCTCACATCCAGCAGAAAGAAGTCTCCCCCTCCCACCTCTGGGTCATTTATTGTCCAACTGGTCTGTTAGGAATTCAAGTGGACGACCCCTTCCTGTACCTTAAATCCATTATCCTAGATCCTACATTCTGGAATGAAAGAAATCCGGTCCTGACTTCCTCCTGGGTGTCCTTTAAGTACTCAAGGAGTGCTAACAGATTTCTCAAGTCTTCTCGAGGCTACTCACCCTCATCTCCCTAAATCTTCTTTTTGGTTCTGTTGGCCAAATGCCAATCTGGGGTTTGTTTACCCAGCTCAAGAGCCAATCAATAATGCAGGGCCGAGTAAAGTGGAAATTTATCACCTTATTTGTGACCAGAAGCAGAAGAGCACTGAACAGGACTGGCATTCTCTTTTTATACCACAAGGTACAGGAAATTCAAAACAGATTGGTTACAAATTTCTTATCAATATAGCCAGTGTATAAGTAATGAGGTTCAGTGTAGAACAGCACTGTACAAATCGTGCTTCTTCAGATGTTCTTAGCATGACCTGTACCACCTCAACCCCTGCTGGCCCCTCAACCTAAGCTGCAATCCTGTGCACCCTGCGCTATAGTTTCTCTGCATGGTTCAGCATTCCTTACGTTCCTTACAGCTTCCTGTTCTGAGTCTCTATGGGGTGTCAAACTCACATCATCATGGTGGCGTCATGTGACATATCGGGACTTTGCCCCCCCCTTTGCTAAACTGGGCGTGGGCATGGCCAGCACATGCTGTATCTGGCCTGTGGGCCGAGAGTTTGGCAGCCCTACTGTATGCAGACAAGATAAAAGCAGACTGAAAAGAATGGAGAAGAATATGTTCCTTTTTAAATGAACTGCTTTCAAAGTTGGGGCCTCAGGCCCTCAATCCTTTGCTTGTCCTCGCTGCCCTCTGAATCCATAGGAACCCACAAGTGAAGAAACAGCGATCCTGGCCTTGTGATACCAACTCTGCAACCTTGCAATGAAGGATGCAAGAACAGAAGGGCAGAGCTTGCAATGAAGGTTTCTTCACTTTCACATCAATGTGTGAGGAGCTGACGCATACTCTGAACCTTAAGTCTGAACTTTTCAAAGCATGGTGCCAACCATTGGGCATGGACTGCAGCTGTTTTGAATTCAAAGCTCCCTGGACCAGCAAATCAAAGCACTGAAGGGTCTCTCAGGGCCATAGAAAGCTCAGCCTCTGATTTTCTCCACCTTCCTATTTTCTCTAAAAGCTTAAGCCGCTGGAGAGCAGTCCGGGCTTTCTGCCGCACCTTAAAAGGAGCTCTTGGCTCTGTCGGGTCGGGAATGCTCAATTCCTGCATCCGACCTTCCGCTCCCCCGTCGCCATGGTAACGACCGCGGTCCACGCTTGGGCAGGCCGCCTCCGGCCCAGCGTCCCTTGCGCGCCGGCAAAATGGCGGCGCCCAGTCCCGGCGCGGGGCGCGCTTTCCCCTTCCCGGGCTCTCAGAGCGAGCATCCCGCGAACGAGGAGCCGCCGTCAGAGGAGAAAAGGCGGAAGAAGCCGCCCTGCCGGGCCTGTACGGACTTCAGGAGCTGGATGCGGGAGCAGAAGAAGCAAGCGGGCCCGGTGAGGCAGTGGGTGGCCGGGCTGCTGGGGCCGAGGAGGGCTGGGCTGAAAGGGCGCGCGCGGAGGAGGTCAGCTCGCTTCCCCGCCGCTGCCGTAGGAGGCGGAAGGGGCTCGCGGGGGGGGGGGAAAGGGGGGGGTCATACACCTTTGGCACTGAGCGAGCCTGGGCGAGAGGTACCGCTGGTGGCCGCCAGAGGGCGCCCCCGGGGCCGCTCCATGGGGATCCAGGCCCGCTCTTTGCCCGGGAGCGGGGGAGGAACGCCGGAAATCTAAGAAAATAAATCTGCGTGCTCTTTTATCCTGCAGACATAAAAGATGTATACTGCTCAGAAAAATAAAGGGAACACAAAAATAAGACACCCTAGATCTGAATGAATGAAATATTCTCATTAAATACTTCGTTCATTACATAGTTGAATGTGCTGACAACAAAATCACACAAAATTATCAGTGGAAATCAAATTTAGCAACCCATGGAGGTCTGGATTTGGAGTGACACTCAAAATTAAAGTGGAAAAAAACACTACAGTCTGATCCAACTTTGATGTAATGTCCTTAAAACAAGTCAAAATGAGGCTTAGTAGTGTGTGTGGCCTCCATGTGCTTGTATGACCTCCCTACAATGCCTGGGCATGCTCCTGATGAGGTGGCGGATGGTCTCCTAAGGGATCTCCTCCCACACCTGGACTAAAGCATCCCCAACTCCTGGACAGTCTGATGCAACGTGGCATTGGTGGATGGAGCAAGACATGATGTCCCAGATGTGCTCAATTGGATTCAGGTCTGGGGAACAGACGGGCCAGTCCATAGCATCAATGCCTTCGTCTTGCAGGAACTGCTGACACACTCCAGCCACATGAGGTCTAGCATTGTCGTGCATTAGGAGGGACCCAGGGCCAACCGCACCAGCATATGGTCTCACAAGGGGTCTGAGGATCTCATCTCAGTATCTAATGGCAGTCAGGCTACCTCTGGTGAGCACATGGAGGGCTGTGCGGCCCCCTAAAGAAATGCTACCCCACCCCATTACTGACCCACTGCCAAACTGGTCATGCTGGAGGATGTTGCAGGCAGCAGAACGTTCTCCACAGCGTCTCCAGACCCTGTCACATCTGTCACATGTGCTCAATGTGCACCTGCTTTCATCTGTGAAGAGCACAGGGCGCCAGTGGCGAATTTGCCAATCTTGGTGTTCTCTGGAAAATGCCAAACATCCTGCACGGTGTTGGGCTGTAAGCACAACCCCCACCTGTGGACGTCGGACCCTCATACCAGTCTGTTTCTGACTGTTTGAGCAGCCACATGCACATTTGTGGCCCGCTGGAGGTCATTTTGCAGGGCTCTGGCAGTGCTCCTCCTGTCCCTCCTTGCACAAAGGCAGAGGTAGCGGTCCTGATGCTGGGTTGTTGCCCTCCTACTGCCTCCTCCACGTCTCCTGGTAGCGCCTCCATGCTCTGGACACTACGCTGACAGACACAGCAAACCTTCTTGCCACAGCTCGCATTGATGTGCCATCCTGGATGAGCTGCACTACCTGAGCCACTTGTGTGGGTTGTAGACTCCGTCTCATGCTACCACTAGAGTGAAAGCACCGCCAGCATTCAGAAGTGACCAAACCATCAGCCAGAAAGCATAGGAACTGAGAAGTGGTCTGTGGTCACCACCTGCAGAACCGCTCCTTTATTGGGGATGTCTTGCTAACTGCCTCTGCTTTCCACCTGTTGTCTATTCCATTTGCACAACAACATCTGAAATTGATTGTCAATCAGTGTTGCTACCTAAGTGGACAGTTTGATTTCACAGAAGTGTGATTGACTTGGAGTTACATTGTGTTTAAGTGTTCCCTTTATTTTTTTGAGCAGTGTAGATCTCACAATTCCCAGTTCTCCCCCTTTTGCCAGGTCCCTGTCCGAATTCTGGAAGGGAGGGGGAGGCTGTTTGCTTTGCGGTAACTGTTTGGGAGCTTGAGGGAGGGCAGGTCCACTCCATCGCCATCCTCTCCTCTGCACCATGCTGCCTGGGCAGAGGCCAAAAGCCCCTTTGGGGCAGAGGATGGACAGGGTGTACTGGGGTGGGGGCTGAAAGGGAAAATTACCTTTAGCTGCACACCTGCTTCTCTGACGCTGCCTGGCTTTTCTGCGACTGCTGTCTCTCGGTAAAAGCTCCTTTTGAAATGTGACTGGTTTCAGGGGTTTTACTTTCTTGGGAGAGGAGTTGCGGCAGACCCTTATGCCTCACTCCTCTTTGCTGAATGATATATAGGCAAAGAAGCAGAATGGTAAAGGTGTCTGACTCCAGGACACCAGGTTTTCACCTGCGCTTCTTAGCTGAGGGAGCCAGCGTTGCCCGTGGCCACGGCCGCCATGGCCACATGCCAAAGGTGCATGGAATGCTGTTACCTTCCCAGCAAAGTGATACCTATTAATCTACTTACATTTGCATGCTTTGGAACTGCTAGATGGACAGGAGGTGGGGAGAGGATGGGGGCTCATCCTGTTGCACCGCAGTTTCCCCCAGTGACATGAACCGGGTGTAAGTTCATGTCACTGGAATCACAAAAAATAAGCATTTCAAATGCTGCCAATTGCAGTGGAGGTGGAAACCTTACAGACAACATTGCTATGGGAATAAGCTTTCTTAAAAGAGAATGTAGGGACATCCTGGAACAGGACTGTGAGAATCAGAGGAAGAATCAGAGGAATCCTGAATCGGAGGAAGATAAGAAAGAGGAAGTACACTTGCCTGTTCCACTTCATCTTCTTCAGGCTCCACCAAAAATCCCCTATATTGTGAAATTTGCTTAAGATGTTGCATGTAATGTTTCCATAATGCGTAGGCAATTTGCCTGCCTTCTCTCACTTCTACTGCGTTCTTCTAACTAGGAAACAGATGTCCAAGAATCAACATCTAATTGTCCCCTAGACAGAGAAGAACTCGGGAGATGTTCGTGGTCCTTTCTACACACGATGGCAGCATTTTATCCTGACCGGCCCAGTAAAATTCAGCAGCAAGAAATGACACAGTTTATCCAATTATTTTCCAAAGTTTTTCCTTGTGATGAATGTGGAGAAGATTTCAGGAAAAGGTGAGGGTTTTTTTTTTTATTTGAATGCCTGAAATTTATGTGTCCTTTATCTTAAAAGAATTAAATTTCTGCTGTAAGATGATTTGATTTTAACAGTAGAAACTCTACTTCTGTGACTTGTTTATTCTGTGAAAATTAAGTAGACTTGTGAATCTTTTAACAATGAACTATCAAAAAAGTAAATGTGAATTTGCCACTACTATCTATTTGTAGTTAATAAGCTTCTCGTGTGCTTAGTGTTTCTTTCATGAAAACATTTACATTAAGTCGGAATTGATGTCATTAAGCCCCAGTCCTGAGTCTAGCGCTGCATGATCCAGATAATTTTTTCTTCTTTTTATGACCCTATAATCCTTTGGGGTGGGGCGACTGAATGCAGCTGTTTACTGAGTTGCACGTGGTCCAAGTAATAAGCTGCTGCAACACATTAAAGTGTATTCTTGAGTGTTGCAGAAAGAAAGCTATGATGGGGGACATTTCACAACTATTTCAGCTGTTTGTTTCCAACCAGACCTTGTGATGAAGTGAGGTGGAGTTCAAAATAAAATGACTAATTACATTTGGTTTGTTTCAGAATACGAAAAAACCAACCTGATGCCAGTAACAGGCGTAATTTGACACAGTGGTTTTGCCAGATTCATAATGAAGTAAATAAGAAGCTGGGGAAGCCTGAATTTGACTGCTCTCTTGTAGACCAACGATGGCGAGATGGATGGAAGGATGGATCCTGTGATTAGATCTGCTGGATATTTTTCCAAAACCAACAAAACACCCCAAAAGCAATCCTTTATGGACATTTTCTAAAGACAAAATTGTGTGTTTGTTATTAATGGAGATGATGGAAACAGGCAAAGGGCTTTGATGTGTATTTTCCATTTCTGGTTTTGAAAATTTAGTATTGAACCGATCTCTCTAATAATTTTCATACAGTGCCTCTACCTGTGCTCTTTTCCTGACCACTTGAATTATTTCAAATACCAGCAAATGCTGCCTTCAAAACCCTAGACTATGCTTGAAGAAATCATTTGAACATGAAGACTTTCTCAGTTCAGTGCTGATTTAATCCCTGGAAATCTGAGATGACCCATCTGCAACTATTTGCAGCCTTCCTTTGAGCCCAACATCATTTGCCTTCATTGTGTTGCTTACATTTTTGCATTCAACAGATTTCCTCCCCCCTCTCCTTAAAATCTAGAATATTTTTAATTCTATTTTTTTTAAGTGCTATAATATAAATTGCTGGAAAACTATGTCTGCTTACATTTCTGCAGCGTATATACAGTAGGCCTGGGTCTCTCATTTAAGGTATGAGCAAAGGGTTTTTATTTTTCTTCTGGCCAGACTCACAAAAGAGGACAATCTAAATTAATTTACTTTTGATTAATGAAATAAGCCATAGAAATCATGATATCATGTTACATATCTAGATGCACAGCTCTTGGGAATGGGGGCTTAAGAAGATATGTTCATTCCACATAATGGTACATTGCTGAGTTCCCATTTCAAGTAAATGTTCTTTTTACCTATCTGAACTTTGTGTGTCTAAGGTCTCATGACTTGGAAGTGGAAAAAAAATGTGCTCTGAGATACCAGGTAAAGATAAATCTTATTTTATGGCAGAGCAGGCTAGCTGCAAAAACTGTCAACAATTGCCTTGTGAGGAAAAGCAGAAGGCTGGAGTGAAGAAATATGAAGAAAGTTTTTCCTTAGTTCTATTTTATACCACAATACATAAGATCACCAATGAAATTCAAACTGATTAAAGAGATAAATGTGGGAGACATTGATTATTTAGAGGTAACCATGATTATCAATTTTTGATAAGCAGCTACTGGGAAGAAATTTATGGTTTGCAAGAATTTAGTTTCTTGTTTTATCTGAATATGGGAAACTGGCTTGGATATACAACATTTAACAGAAAAGGTAACTATCAGACTCTGTTAATTTTAGTTATAAATCAATGAATTTATTTTTCTGTGTTGGTTCTACTTTTCCTGAATTTGGGGATCTTACTAGGAAAAGATACGTGAACCTAAATATTTTTGTTTTACAGAAGTTGGCTAAAGTCAGGTTTTATTGCCCAAGCAAAGCAGGTCCCATTAATTAATGCAGAGTGAATACACATGCAGATATGCAAAGCACAGTGAAGAACAACTCCTCTGGTCGTCTTCCTCTGTTTACTCTGGTTCAGAATCTGGAAACTTGCATCAGAGAAATAGGCTGGTGATGAAATGGCATCTGGTCCTTGTCAAGGGGTGTCCTTCTTAGAAGCATTTAAAAGGACAGCTGTAGCCTGTGGCCAAGGATTTGGCAAGCGCTACATAGCTGTTACTAAAGTCACATGGGTGTTTGATGAAGGAAAGGTCTAATATTTTGCACCTAAGAGAATAAAAACCAAATTTCTGTTGGCAGATGTGTGGTATGCTTTTCATTGGCAAAAATATTTAAATGCATTTGATGAGTGCAATTTTAAGTGTGTCTCCAAATTAATTTATTTTTGTGCTTACTAACCAAATAATAAAAGTAAATATTCATTTGGTTTCTTGTCCATTTTTAAAAGTAAATATTTCCCCAATGTTACAGATCCTATTAGCATATTACTGTATCTGGATAATATTTATCATTCAAGGATGATTGATGTACCAAGCTTGCAAGGAATACCAAGCAATAGGATAGGCTGGGTTGGAAAGAAAACATCCTAGAGGATGACAGTGGCAAATTGCTTCTGTACTGTTGACAGGAAAGCTGGATGCCTCCCTTACGTCTCCAGGAGCTGTGCCTGAGCTGCAGGAGAGACAGGGGCTTACAGAAAACAGCTTTGCCTAATTCTCCATACATAGTGCATTCAGAAAGCATTCAGACCCCCCTTCACTTTGGTCAATTTTGTTATACTGCAGTCTCCATGTAGATTAGATTATAGATTAACAGAGTTGGGAGGGGCCTTGTAGGTCATCTAGAGACCCTACACCATTCCTGACAATTGGCAATCCAGTCTCTTCTTCAAAAATTCCAGTGATGAAGCTCCCACAATTTCCGAAGGCAACTTTGTCAGACTTCAAGATTTCTTTCCTTTGCATCTTTCGGCTGTCATAAGTGGGGGAGGGGGAGAGAGGGGTGAAATAGTTATGGGACGTGAGCTGGAGGTTTGAGAGAATAAACTGTATAAGTTGGGGGGGTGGAGTTTCCTGTTTATGCTTCTTTCCTATGCTATGCGCAAGCGCAGCTCTTTATCAAAATAGGCCAAGGTCAATGGACCAATGCCTCATCACCACCTGAAGAGGCCCACCTGACATGACATGCAACTTTTAATTGGATGAGCCAATTGAATTATTGGGGGTGGGAACGTTGCCATCACTTTGTGTATGTGATTTACATACTCATTTTCTCAGATTCAGAATTCTTTTGTTGCTACCACTTGATTTCCACTGAAAGATATCTTTCCTCTAATTAACAGAGTCTAAGCGTTTCTTTCTTGGATTTTGAATGGAGCACCAGCTGACACAACTTCTGTTCCATGGGTTGATTGTTCTCCCTGTCAGAAAATTTCTCCTTATTTCCAGGTTGAAAAATCTCTCCTTGTTCAGTTTCCATCCATTGTTCCTTGTAACCGAGTAATTATTCTGACAGGAAATGTCTCTAGTTCTAGCTTGGATCTGTCTTTATTGATCTTCCACCTATTACTTCTTGTCCTGCCCTCCGATGTTTTGAAGAATAGGTCAAATCCCCCTTTTCTGGAGGGCAGCCCCTCTTGGGATCCTGCTATCCTGTCACTCCAGTCCTTCTCTTGGTTAGACTAAGCATTCTAGATTGTCTAACGGAGTCTAATCTAACAAATGCCTCGTCTAACCAAGTCTAGGGTAGTCAAATGGAATTAATTGGAAGGCATGCATGCATGGATGAATCTACCCTGCAGCTGAATAAGAGCATAGCTGGTCTAGAAAAAGTGAAACCAAACCAATCGCTAAAGAAGCATTTTGATGCTGATGCTGTAAGGTGGGTGGTAGAAATTTTCAGGACAAAAGTCCTGGGAGGAAGTACAGGAGGACTGTTGCCTGCTCTGAATGTATAAAACATATATAAAACAAATTCAATTCCATTAAATTTACTTTAAGAGACTTCTTGAAATTTAACACTTGAAAAAAAATCTGGGAAAAGGAGCAGAGCATATATTTTCCATCAGTAATGAGTAGAAAGCAGCAACTGAGTAACAGATGCAACAATAGGTAAGCAGGGTAGGACAGAAATCAAACCAAATGTTAGAAAAACTGGAAACTCAGGGTTAAATCATGAAATCTGAATTAAATTCCTAATAAATGAATGAGACAAAAATGTATGTCCAAGCATGCAAAGTAGCACCTATCAGGACTTCTCCAACTCTTCATCCTATGATTTAGCTCCAGACTCTTGGTTGCTCTTTTCTGCACACATTCTAGGGTATTAGCATCTTTTCTGTATCATTGTGACCAGAATCGGATACATTATTCCAAGTATGGCCTCACCAGTGCAGTAGAAAGTGTCATTATGACTTCATATGATCTTGATGCCATGTTGATGCAATCTAGGACTTCACTGGGGTTTTTTGGCAGCTGCAACACACTGCTGGCTCATGCATAAGTAGCAGTCCACTAGGATCTCTCTTACAGTTACTACTGCTGAGTCAGCTACCACCCATTCTATACCTGTACATTTGTTTTTTTCTACCTAAGTGCAGGTCCTTCCTTTTCTAACCACTAAACTGCATCTTGTTGTATACGGACCTAAGTTCAAGTCTGTCAAGATCCTTTTGAATCTTGAGTCTGTCCTCTCAAGTGTTAGCAATTCCCCCCACCTTGGTGTTATCTGAAAATTTCCCTTTCTATTCCCTCATCTAGATCATTTATGACTATGCTGAAGATTACTGGGCTCAAGGCAGCACCTTGATCATTTCTAGGTGCTCACAAATCCTCTGCTTGATTATCTTTTTCGGAATTTTCCCAGGTATGGATGTCAAGCTGATTGGCCTATAATTTCCTGGATCCATTGTTTTCCTTTTTGAAGATTTGAACCACATCAACTCTTTTCCAGTCCTCTGGTAATCTCCTTGTGCTACAAGAGCTCTGAGATTACACTGTCAGCTCCTTCAGAGTCCTGGGTTGTAAACAATCTAGTCCAGGTGATTTGTACTCATCCAGGGTGGATAGATATTCTCTTACCATGTCCTTGCTTATTTTGTCTTGTGTACCTGTTCTATCTCCCTTGGTGCTGCTTTTGATAGGTTGGGCTATTTCTTCCTTTTGCGTAAAAACAGATGCAAAGAAGGAATTAAGCAGTTCTGCTTTCTCCCTGCTGCCAGTCACCTTCTTGCCTTCTGCTGCCATTAGTGGACTTATAGTATTCCTTGACTTCCTTCTTGTGCCTTACATATTGACAGAAACTTTTTTGTTGTTATTTTTTGCATTAGTTGCTAGTCTTAGTTCATTCTGGGACTTATTTAATATGATGTAATTTGAATTATATTGAGTTAGTGTCAGCAAATCAATAGCAATAGCCCTTAGACTTATATACCACTTTACAGTGCTTTACAGCCCTCTCTAAGCAGTTTACAGAGTCAGCATATTGTCCCCAACAATCTGGGTCCTCATTTTACCCACCTCGGAGGGACAGAAGGCTGAGTCAACCTTGAGCCTGGTGGGATTTGAACTGCCAAATTGAAGGCAGCCGATAGTCAGCAGAAGTGGCCTGCACTATTGCACTCTAATCTCTTCGCCACTGAGGCTTGTATTAATGTTAACTAATATCCTGTAAATGGACAGTATATTATCCAAACCTTGTCTGTAAAAGCCAGATTGAGATGGACTGAGATGAATGAATAATATCTGACCAAACTGATTGTATAGTAACTAGTTAGCTTTTTACAGTTAAAATTTTGCTATCCACAATGATCATAAAATAGAACTATAACTGGTATCTTGACTGGGATCTTTGCCTTCTAAAATCAGAAATTTCTATTGTAAGCTTTGTAAAACAGGTGTGTGCTATTTTTATATTCCTCCTCCTCCTTGGAATAAGTTGTCCCTGTCATTTCTCGCAGTCACTGATGCTTCATCCCACCAGCCTTCCTGCGGTATAAAGAAGCACATTATCTAGAGATTATTTGGTAAAGAATGGAAAAGGTATATAGCATATAGCGAGGCACCTGGATATCCACACTGCTGCCCCTTCCTATACATGTTGGAAAGAGAGTTTGCTCGTGGCATGAATGCTGGGCCCAGCTGTTGCCCTCTGTGGCAATCAGTCCTCTGACCTGCATGGGGATAAGATTGGAGCTGGCATTGACATCATGAAATACATCATGAAATTGATGTAATTATCACAGCCAACAGTTCGTTGGCTTGGGTTTTTGTAACAAAAATGCTATATTGTGGCTTTTTTACTTCTGTTGGTGAAGCCAGCTGTTGGGATTTGCTGTAAAACATGGTTTATGGCTTAGTATTTATACTTATCTCACTGTGATTTCTCCTGTAAGCCATGATCAAACTAACAAGTTAATGTGGTCTGTTCATATTACTACAAACAGCTGAGTGTGTAGCTTATAAAAAACTATCAGTGGTGCTTCACATCTGGTAGCAGCAAGCCAGTGTTTTTTTATATTGTGTTATCCAGTCAGTGTATTAGGAGTCTGGTGACCACATACATTTCTAAATAAATAAATCAGGTTCTCCTACTGCATTTATCAAACAGAAAAAGTCTTTTATTCAGCTACAATCAGCCCTTTGTATAATATTTTCCCCTGCCAGTTTTTCCAGCCTTTTCTTTTCCATAAACATTCAAAATTTTCACCTTAACTATTTATAGATCCTTCTCACACAGAGGTGGGACTCTGACCAGTTCTGGAGAACCGGTAGCAGAAAATTTGAGTTGTCCGGAGAACCAGCAAATCCCACCTCTGACTGGCCCCACCAACCCCATCTCTTCTCTGCCTCCCATTGAGTCCCAGCTGATCAGCTGGGTCTCCTTTTGTTGCCCTGCACAGGAGAACAGAGCTGGAAAGCAGGTTAGTGGGGTGGGGAGGGAAGGGGGATTTTGCAGTATCCTTCCCCTGCCACACCCACCAAGCCATGTCCACAGAACTGGTACCATGGTAAAAGCAATTGAATCCCACCACCACTTCTCACAACTATTCACATTTAATGGGTCTCATTTCGGATAGAAAGAAACTTACTTGGTTTCCCTCTTTTGAGAACAGCCGTCTCGGGCCGCACAGAAGGGGGCTGAATCAAAGAAGCCTGATTTATTTGATCCATTCAGTCATATTTGATTCATGTTTGCGACGGTGGCAAATATGATCTGTAGCTCGGGTGTAGGATGAGGGCGTAGCTTCATTCTCCAGCCATAGGGCATGCCCGTGTTGGCGTTCACCATCCCTTACAGTCTGATAACAAAACGCTGGGAAAGCAACCCACAAGCCCAGAGACTGGTTCTTGCTGTTTAAAGCCAGTTGAGCTCCAGGTGAATAACCCTCCTTTGGGGAAGAGGAGGGCCATCCGTCCCATTAGAGGGTCTCCTTTTGCAGGGGTGGGGGAGGCCTTTTCTTTACATGCAATGACTGAAATGCCTTTAGCGTGTTGTCCTTGTGGGACTTCTAAAATAGGCTTAATTTCAAAAAACGGAACTCTTCCAAACATTAGCAGACCCCTCCGAAAAATATTAAGGACAAGCCTCCTGATTTCAATCAAGGGCTCCACCCACCCCCTTCTTGTCAATCTTCAACCTCTTTCACATTCTAAAAATGTTATATTGCTGAGTAACCTTTAAAAAGTGAGTGGAAGTCAGTAATAGATACAATTCAGTGACTCATCCGTAACTGAAAAGGAGGAAGAAAAACATCACCATGAATTGTGAAGGTGTTGCTTTTCGACCTCTCTTCACCCCTTATAAAAGGAGGCAGACTCTCAAAGGGCTAAGGAAGGGGGAAGGGGAGGAAACCCTCCTCTTAAATGATTTCCTTTCCCCACAAAGGCAGGCCGGCTCTAATCTGCAGTCAAGAGCTCTGATGCTTTTCTCCGAAGGGGATAAACCGAGGCAGAGGGAAAACCAAGATGGCTGGAGGGGGCAAGAGAACCCGATTGGATCCTGCTGGACCCATTACACTGGCAGGAGGAGGGGTAGGCGAGTATTTGCCTGAGCAGAGAAGTGACGTCAGAGTTGTCATGGCATCAGTATCTATGGAATGAAAATCACCATTGTGACCTTAGATGGTGGTGGGGAGAACACGGCTGTACCTTTGATGTAAAAATCCTCCTGGTCTACTGTGTGACATCCACAGTAACTACTCCCTCCATTTGCTCACTCAGGTTGCTAGTATGCATCACAGCCTGACTGCAAGCTGGGGTCGTAAAATGTCTTTATTGGTTCTTAACCATCAGGGAAAGGGATGGTGATAAGGAATTTTTTATCGCTATTCAAATAAGGTCACATGCAGCCTGCCAGAGTAATTAGCAGCAACCCTGTTAGGTAGGCCATCTTACATTCCAGGAACAACTAATGTACTGCAGATCTTTATGTGCTGAGCTAATGGGTTTAATATTTGCAGGGTTTAGCAGGTCCTGGGATTATTTATTATTATGGGTTAGCACACAGCCAGCCAGATGGTCAGACTGGATTTGGCATTTCTATCCATGCATCAAGTCCTTCCCAAGGACCTGGGATAGACAGTTGCTGATATTTGCGGGTATGAGAGGCATCATTGCAGGATGGAAGCTGTTGTGAGTCAAGCTGTCTTTTGCAATTGACTAATGGGATTTTGTCAATGCCAATGAGGTTCCAGTCACGCTTATGTGCCTCTGACCCAGTGGTGGGAGTCACATTATTTTTTTACTACCGGTTCTGTGGGCGTGGCTTGGTGGGCCTGGCAGGGGAAGGATACTGTAAAATCTCCAGTCAGAGGTGGGATTTGCCATTCTCCAAACTACTCAAATTTTCTGCTACTGGTTCTCCAGAACTGGTCAAAACCTGCTGAATCCCACCTCAGCTCTGACCTTTGCTTTCTTTGGCCACAGTCGTTCTGTTTCTATTTGCAGGTCTTTGCAATTGGTCCTCTTCTCCAGTTCTTTCTCCGGGTAACGTCACGTCCAACAGCCAAACTTTTCCCTTTTTCTTATGAAAGTGGTTAAGGCTGTGTGTTCTGCAGAAGGTGTCTTGCCAGTTTGAATTCTAAAGTCCCGGAGCACTTTAGCTTCTTAATTTTCTGCTACTTTTTCTATTTTATGATCCTACCAATTCTTCACTGCCTATAGGGACAGGGTGCATGACACCTTATGAATTTAAACACCATTTTAACTTGGTGGGTGTAAATAAGTGAATAATCAATATCAAACAAGCCATAAGTGGAATTGGGTGGCAACTTGGGTGCTTTCTTGAGACTGAGAATGAGGCAAAATGGTATCCTCCCCTCCTGCCATTACCTTCATTTTCCAGGTGGAGTATCTCACCTGTGGGCAGCAGCCCCAGGCCCACACATGCACATCCTGAGGCTTGTGAGTCAGATGGAATTGGAGTCTCTCTCTGCAGACCTTATTCTCTCTCTCTCACCTTGTAGAGAGGTCTTATGGAAATAAAGAAGGTAAAAGAAAATCAGTCAAACATTTATTGTCAATGCACAACATGTGTACAATGAAATTGAAAATATTCTTCCACTTGAGCTGCCAAAGGAAAGGCACACTAGAAATAAAGGCAATGAATATATTTCGGAAGACAGCACTGAGAAAGCAAAGTAATATGGCTATCATTGCTGCTTGCTTTGTCGCCTGTGCTGCTGCAACTGCTCTTCCCTTCGAGCAGCCCTGTGTGCACACGCACTGGGCACAGGCTCCTCGGGGACCTCTTCATGACTGCTGCCAGCCTCCACCATCTCCGAAGGCAGCACTCCACTCCCTGATGGTCCTGGCCCCATCCCTGCATCCCACGCAGGCCCCTCATCTGAGCCCTCACTCTCAGCCATCTGCACCTCCTGCCGGCGAACCCCAACAGTAGGTTAAACATGTGAAGGACCCAGGACTGACTGCCACATGCCTGGACAGGCAAAGATGTGGTCTGAGGGTCTAGTGGAGAAGGGGTTGGATTAGGAGCAGGGGGACAGGAGTTCCAGTTCTGCCTCAGCTGCGGACGATCCCGGGCAACTCATCTCTCTTAGCCCAGCCTACATCACAGGGTTGTCGCTGTGATCAAAATACGTGGTTTGTATTGCAACTACAAGTGGATTATATCTATCTACTCAAAACACCAACACTTTGCATAGGGGACGGACATAGACATGTCCTTAACCTGCATGGTTCCTGGACCCAAGCTACATTGGGAGACATTGAGCCAACCAGATGAAGCCTTTTGTGGAAGGAAGGGGCCCCATCATCAAAGCCGCCACGCTCAACATGCCAAGTAAGCAGAGTTTGCTAGCTGAACCCTCTGACAGAAATCTTCATTGGCACGACTAGAATTTGCAAGCCAAGCACAAGCGAGCAAACCCAGAGACTTTCACGTGTGGACTACAGTGACCCAATAGGGGTCGGCAGTCCTGTCCAAGGTCGGCTGGACTACAAAGCTCATAACTGACGGAAGATGATGGGCTGGCTGGGAGAGTCGAACAGCGCCGGGCCACGAGGCTGGCCAAAGCCGGCGGCATCTTAGCTTGGTGGGGCCGAGGAAGAGCCGTCTTGCTCCGCCTCGCCCGGTCTTTAGCTCCGTGCAGAGCTTCCCCTCGTGTCGGCGTGAACGTGGGAACCCTCACCGGGCAGAGACGGGGCGGGGGCGCCGGGGCACTGCGGAGCGGCCAGGAGCGCGGGCTGCGCGGCTGGCGGGCGGGCAGGTGGTGGCGCCAGCTCGCCCGTCCCCGCCGCCCCCTCCTCTCTTTGCCTTCGCAGCTCGAGGCGGCGGCGGCGGCGGCGGCGGCGGGACGATGGAGGGCGCTTCCTTCGGAGCCGGGCGGGCGGGCGCGGCGGTGGACCCCGCGGAATTCGCCAAGCGGCCCCAGACCCTCCTCAGGGTCCTCGCCGGGGTAAGAGCGCCCCTTCCTCCGCCCCGAGGCCCTTTGCTCCCCCGGGAAAGGGAGTGACGCCGCAGCCCGGGCGCCGCCTGGCTCCTCTCGCCTTCCTTGGCGCGGGGCCCCGGGGCTCTCGTCCCACCATCCGCAGCCAGCCTGGTCCTCGGGGGCAGCCAAGCGGGAGCCGGGCGGGCGGGTGGTCGGAGCGGGGAGAGCTGCCCAGCCGCTTCTCCAGCCCCGAGGGAAGAGCCCTGCCCCCCCAACCCCCCCCCGCCCCGGCTTTGCCAGGGGGGGGGGGAGCAACAAGCGGGCGCCCTTTGCCGAGTCAGCCGAAGACGCCCGCAGCCCGCCCTGCCCTGCCGGTCGCGGCACCTCGCTCCCGCCGAGGGGGCTCCTCCGGTCTCGGGGCTGCCGGCTGAGCGGTGGGGCAGCGAGCCCGGCTTCCCGCCGGGCTGAGGGGAAGAGCTGCCCTCCTGCCCCGCTTGGGCGGCGATGGGAGCGCCCGGCCCCGCCTTTGCGAGGCCGCTTCTTCTGCGGTCTCCTCCCCGCCTGAGGGGGCCTTTCCTGCCGAGGCCCCCAAAGCTGCTGCGATTCTGCTGCGTCTTTTGAAGGGCAGCCGTGATTTCCTCGCTGGCTGTTTGGGTGAGGAAGGCGGTGGGCATTTAGGTAACGCCATTAAAATACTACAGTAATTATGCGAAATACAAGAATTAAAAAGAAAAGGCCTGAAAATCTGTATTGGGAAGAGATGGGGGAGGGTGTTGTTGTTGTTGGGGAAACCAAAGAAAAATCTTTGGTTCCATGATTTGAGCCCAAAGGGCAACACTGTCATGAAGCCTACAGCACTTGAGGACGGGTTTCCTTCATAAGGGCTTGGGATGTGTTAACTCAGGCTGAAGTATAATCCAGAGGAGGCTGTCATCTGAGCATACACAGAGTACTGTATATTCTCCACTTCCTCAGACCACTGGCCACATTCACATGGAGACCCATTTCCTTAATTATCCCATTTTCTGGACCTGCACAACATCATGAATGCACTATATTGGGATAGGTCTTAGCAATATGATAAACCAGACTAAAATTAGCCCAGCATTTGAATGCATGCGGTTACTGGACCGGATTTCTCAAGCTTAGTGACTTTAAGATGTGTGGACTTCAATTCCCAGACCAGCATTTCCTTCCAGGCTGTGGAATTCTGGTAGTTGAAGTTCAGAGAGGTTAAAGTTGCCAAGATTGAGAAATACTGCATCCCTCCTTTCCCTGGCCTATTTAAATGTTTTGGCTTTACTCGGGAAAATAAACGTGTTTATGGAGCGGGAGAAATAATGTATGGTCCCGAAAGGAAAGAAAATTACCTGAGACAGTAACAGAGTGACATTGTTGAAGGCTTCTGTGTCTGTGTCTGTAAGAATTGCCACATGTTCGTAGCCAGGGGCTCCATTGTTTAAAGACCACCTTTTCAGCCTTCAGGGTTCTTGTTCATCTCTTTGTACTGTTGGAAGAAATGTTCAGTTCCAAGCGGGGAAGAAAGACACTGGAAACACGGTGACTGCTTGGAAAGATGGTTTAATGGTGGACAGCAGGACCACATGGCTTGGAGCTCCAAAGAAGGAAGGCACAATCACATGCCACAAGATGAAGGAAAAGAAGGGAGGCCTGAGGTGCTGAGAGTCCCTTATATACCCTCTGTTGGGATTTGAATTTAATTTTGTGTTCTGATTGGTTGTCAGACTCCCATGGGGCCATGCAGTGGCAACTCTGTAGGCCGTCCTGAGTCCCAGGCTTGGTTGAGCCTTGCTGGGTGATGATGTAATGCAAGGGCTTTGGGCAATTCCTATTATAGCTCTACCTGGAGGAGATCTTTGTTATGTAAAATATTATGGCCCAGGCCTTAAATGGCCCACCCATTAACAAAGGACGGGGTGAGCTTCTGCTTCTGAGGTGAGTTTCTGCTTCTGAGTTTCTACTCTTTTTAGGGGAAATATTCTGCTTTTTTAATATTTCCTAGAATATTTCATTTTTTTTAGGAGAGGGGTGGATGCTAACTTCCTACAGTACTTTGAGAGAGTCAGTAGAAACCAATACAATAATTTTGGGTGCAGTCTAGCGGGTTCCAGCCGCCCCAGAGAGGAACTGGCCACTCAGACATAGCTGCAAGTTGAGGCTGATCAAATCCAGAAAGATCATCTTGGCAGCTGTTAAGCTGTGCAAGCAGGCCTCATTTTAACTCCTCACCCATCCATCTCCTGAAGCTGATGCCTGTTTTTGATTAGCAAATCTCTCTTCTGTTTTGTGGGCACTCTCACAAAATGGCTGCAATGGGCTGGGCTTATTAATGGCTGAGCTCCCAAAATGGCCATGACCGTTTCCCAAATGCCCACTTATCAGAAGGGAAATAAGTAAGATGGCTCCCCTCGAAATGCTTCTATCAGCTTGAGTGCGTTTCTGCCTTTTCTTCTGGGCTCCCAAACCCAGTTAAAGTCAGCCGAGCCATCAGTATGCAGTGAAGGATGGTGTCAGTCTGCCCTCCCTTCTTCTGTAAAGCTGGCTGCCTTGCACATTTGGGCTTGCAGGTTTTCGAGGCCTGCAATAAACATGTTGAGCAGCCCAGAGCCTCTGTGCGTTCCCAGCCTCACCCAAACAGTTTCTGCAGCCCTCAAGCTTTCTCTGTGTGGAAATGGATTGTCTGCTTGCTGTTGTTAAACTTTGCATCAGTGCTACACACAGTACAAAGTTTATCACCTTGTCAAGAAGGATTTTGCTGGGGACTTTGTTAGATTCTTCAGGATGCTGTTCTCAGCCACAAGATGCAATGATAACTGAGTCATCCAACCTGCAGTGGACGAGCTTCCATGATGTGGAGGCTGACTGAGCTCAAGAGATGAAGGAAGCCAAATCTAGCAGTTTCACAAGCTGGAATCTCCCTCAGAAATTCCTCTGTTTGACAACAGCAACATTCAGGCCTTCAGGGAAGCAATTCTGGTGGTGTGATGAGACCTTGGCTATTTCTTCCCTCCAAGTGTGACCTTTTCTTACGTCGAATTTGCTTCCTCTTCCTTTCTGGGGTAGGAAAGGACATGAATACAGAATAATGAAGGGACTGTATTCCAACCTGCTCCTCAAGCGGGATTTCCTTTTAGTTCCTTTTAGACGAATGGTTGCCCAGTCTCTTCTTAAAAAGCCCCCAATAAGCACCCACAACGTCTGGAGTCAAAAGCGAACAAGCTTGGAATGCAATTGAGGTCAATCACTGGGAACAGAGGTTTAATCTCCTGCGCTCTCCGAATCGTGCTGAAGCAGGTAACGTTCTGGTGGAGAGAATTTCCCCAAGGGTGGGCTTCTTCTATGTAAAAATGGCGGTAATAATATTGCTACCGGGAGTCCTTGACTTGCAGCCACTCATTTAACAATCATCTGAATGGCAGATCATCTGAAAAAAGTGACTTCCAATCAGTCCTCACCCTTATGACTGGCACAGCATCCCCAGGACCACAGGATGAAAATTTGGGTGCTTGGCAACCAGCAGGTATTTATGATGTTTGAACAGGATCATATGATTGTCATTTGCAATCTTCCCAAGCTGGTTTCCAATAAGCAAAGTTAATGGGAGAGCTGGATTTGCTTAACGACCACAGGATCAACTAATGCAGAGGTCTCCAAACTTGGCAACTTTAAGACTTGTGGACTTAAATTCCCAGAATTCTCCAGCCAGCTCTGCTAAAATCCTTGTTGTTTTAAGCAAAAGAGCTGTGGTTCTGTCTTGAAAAGTTTGTAGATTTCACCAAAGAAAGAAACAGTGACCTAAGAACTGAAGACAAATCAGGGATGGGCTTGGGAACGTAGTTCCATCAACAATGCTACCAGAGTTGGATTCTGGCTAAGGTGTATTTCTAGAATCACAGAAAGTAAAGGTTGGAAGGGTTCTTGAGATTGTCTAATCTAACCCTATGCTCAGTATAGAAATCCACTATAGCATCCATCCAGCCTCTATTTGAACACCTGTAATGAAGAGTCTACTACTACTTTCCAAGCAAGCACCATCTTTCATTGCTGAGCACCTTACAATTATGTGATTCTTCCTGACATCCATTTGAAATCTGCTTTCTTGTAAATTAAGTCCATTATGTATAGATGCAGAATAGGCAGTGCCTGGCTCAATGGTCGTGTCTGTGTGGGGGATCTCGGATCACCACTTAAGTATGAGCCAGCCGTGTGCTGCAGCTGCTAAAAGCCAATACAGGCCTGGGCTGCATCAACAGAGGGATAAGATCAAGATCACCAGAAGTGGTGGTAAGGCTCTGTATTGCACGAGGGAGGCCACGCTTGGTTTAGATTTGTCCCAGCCTCTGAACTGTTCTGCCTTCGACATGATAGCCCTTCATACACTTGAAATCACCAATTATATGTACGACAGACTGAGTGCCTCTAACCATTTCTCCTAACCTTTTCCTTCCAGGACATGCTCCAGTTGCTCAGTTTGTCCAGTATATTCTTCATAAAATGTGCCCCGTAGTGGACACCGTGTTCTATCTATATTTGTATAATCAATGCAAAATAGAGAGAAACAAAGACTTTTCTTGATTTTGACACAAAATGCCTTTCTAGCATTGCCATTGCCTTTTATGCAGCCATCTTATACCCTGGCTCATGTTCAGATTTGATCCATCAAGAAACCTAAATCCATATTACATGCACTGCTGCCCAGTATGGTCCCCTATATTCTGTACTGATGTCTTTGATTTCTTTTCACCCAAAAGATTGTGCTTATCCCATTGGAAATTCACATTGCTGGCTTCTTTCCTTTCTTCTTGCTTGTTGCATTTTATACTATTAGATCCTCCCATGCTACGTAGCATATTGGGCAGCAAGGGGTCACTAGCATTTTTGGTTTTGGGTGAACACTTCAGCGTCTTCCCATTTGATGTTTAGTTGCTTTAAGTCTTCCATGAATGCTCTTCACTGTATATTTCGAGGGTAGCCTCTTGGTCATTTGGCATGGGGGAAGTCCATCT